GCTAATGCGAACTTTTCAGCGAGCGGGGGGCAAACTACCTAAATGGGGACGTGGGGAGCTGATAATTGCGCTGAGTTGAAAGTGCCCCATCCCATTTCATGCGCTGCTCTTGTAAATAAATAAACATTATGAAACCACTTTTATCCTGATTAATATCAGCATGCGCACATGCATGTGCTACGTACTGCGTATAAACATGTTTGTTTAAGGCCCTGGAAAACTGCTTTTTAACCGCCCACTCAAACTCCTTCCTCCGCCCGGCTATTAAAGATTATTAAGAGCACCTTGATCTCGGGAGGAGGTCCCCTGTTCCCTGTTCCCCTGATGCTGTTGCTCCGTGGCACGCAGGCCAAACTTATTGATCCATAAAGAGCATAAAACACGAGCAGTATTTGTATCCCAGGTTGGGATGCGATGAGGTGGGCGGATTGCGGACCAAAGGGGTCGCGTAGATGTGCAGGCGAGTGATCTTTGACCTTTGGCAAGGTTGCAGCCCCACTTTCTATTTCAGGCCCAATTAGGTTGCAGCGATTCTCTTCGGGAAGTGCCCCGCTAGACGTAAATCTCCATATGTACACAATGCTCATCGTCTTCCCTGCCCGGGCATCATGAATCTCTCATCCTCGTCTGCATTTCTCACAGTTAGCTCCGCTCCTTGACCACTCATTTATGCATTTTATTGGCTCTTGGCTAACCCGGAGCACCATCAATCATCTCGATGGCCACTCAGCTGCGATACACTCTGCCTTTTGTGCTTATATCTATTATTTGGACGGGCCGTCATAAGTGGTCCACCTGTTGGCCGCCTGTCCAGCAGTTGCCAAAACCTTAATCAATTATGCAAATCGCATTTATTGGCCGATGTTTTATGCGATATTGGAACCTGATGATGGGCGAAATGGAGCGAGAGGAGCTATGTTCGCAGTTGGCTCTGATTTGGAGCCCGAGGTACCATCACACATTTATCCGGAAGTGCTCACATAGCTCAGCTCCAGTGAAGTGTTCTTCTACCCCCTTATGAGAATAGGCACATTCTGATTTCACGTTTACCCAACTGTCTTCGAAAACAGTTCTTTCCAGATAAGAGAGCGATAAGAAGGCAAATACAGATACGCACCAGAGAAATATTCGCAGCGCTTTCCAGCAGATTTAATGAATGAAATCAACTTGAATTAAATTCCTCCATATTGCGGCTTGTTTCTGGCTTTATTTGTTTACACGCACTGCAGCTGCTGAATCACCAGAAAGGCAAGAAATGTGTTTTCGGCTGCCTTGCTTTGTTTCGCTTTGAAGGTAATAAATTTTTAACACGCTTGCATTGCATAAACAATTTCAAAACTGCACTCGGAACGGGCCTGTTTACACTCCGTTGTCGTGTCGATTACGCTTTTGGCCAAAAGCCAAGCACTCGGATTTAACTGGTTTATTTCGACTTTGCGAACGCCCGCGCGCGAATCTTTCAGCGCAGCCCACGCACTTGCTGCAGCATGGCCAACTTGAAGATACTCGAATCGCACAGGGCAGCAGATGCGGATGGGCTTCAATGGAGCTGATGTAGATGTAGCAGAGCTGTAGAGGTAGAGATTCAAACCGAGCCGAACCGAACCGAACTGAACTGAACCTCTGGGCCAGCGATCGAGTTGTGCGCCGCTGGAGAGCTCGGCACGTATTAATTTCAGCGGCAGCGCTGAAGTATCCGAAAGATACGTTCCGCTGGTCGCGCACCAGCACACACTTCCACATATGTGGGCAACTTCGCTGCCGGCGACGCCAACTTGTTTGACAGCGAGGTAAACACAACCGGAGCACAGATATCTGCCCCGCCGTCCCTTCTGGATGTTTATATTTACACGTCCCGAAATCCGGATGAGATGGGACGCATCGGACGGGGGGATCTCGATGGGTCAGAGGCGCGACGGGTGTCGCTGATTTCAATGAAGAGCTACAATTTGTCGTCTCAAGTGGCACCGCGCTTGTTTATCTGCATCCGACTCGGTGTCTGCGACTTTGACTCCCGCTAGACAAGTATCTCGATTCATTCTAAGTCTGAAATTCTCGCATCCGACCGCCAACTGCCAGCTGGCTGTGCGAAACTGTTTGAGCGGCAAAATGATTGGGCTTAACTGTAACATTGGTTGCCCCAATCCGCTGGCTTTGATGCCATCGTATGCAAATGGCTCCCATCGAAATTGGATAAGATTTTGGAGCTTTTGGCTAATTAAACGTTTCGCCGAACGGGGCCACAAAACTCGAATGGGGCTAGCCGAAGTATCTGCGATTTGTATTTGCCTATTGTGGCAAGCGGCCGAATGCTTCCGCTTTGAGGTGTCTTGGCGGAAATGGCTCTTACAATCAAATGCTCTGTGGCTTGAGGCTTTGGTGCCCCACAAAAGAGTGTGTGTGCTCTATTTAAGCCGCCAGTTTTCACTGCCCAGCCAATTACTAATGGAGTGGCTTTCTCCGCTCTGCGCGCGGGTCGCACAGATCAAACACCTACGAACTGACTGAACTTGAATATCGATGCTGCTGGGTCACCGGAGTGTCCGTGGTCCGAAACTGGTCTGGAGGAAGCCCCCCGCTCACCTGCACCTAATGGTACATAATTACAGGTGGGCAAAGTTTCAGTTTCCAAAGCATTTTCATTAGTTTGATGGCCCGGGCGTTCCGGCTGTAATTATACAATCATTTTAATTGGATCCGGCAATGTTTGCCGGCGCGGCGGATCCGTCGACACACAACAAAGATTAATCGTGCTTATGTCGGCGGGTCAGGAGACTAGAAGTCGAGCTAGCCGAGCTCTGTATCTTGCAGATACCTCGCCACTTGCAAGGTCGAATGAGTGGGTGGGGTTGGTAATGCAGATTCCATTCCAATACAACATTAATTCAATTACTGCTGCGTTTGCCTTGGTATCTTTGGGGTTTTCCCTCTGCCAAGACATTTATGAATTAGTTGCAATTTGTATCTGCTCCAGCTATTTTGGCTACCTGAGGCCACCCGCTCGCATTTCATTAGACTCAAATTGGCTTCATCACGTGATCCCGATGAGGTGGTTCGGTCAGGGGAACCTGGGGAACCTGGGCAAGCGGGCCAAAGGGGAAATCGAAAAGACTACAAGCGGAACTCGGCGAAGTCTCACATTCTCACATAAATTTCCAGCACTCCGGTGTATCTTTTGGAAGCGGCACTTCTATTTTTGATGAGCACCGCTCGCATCGCGCATCACTCCAAATTAATTGTGGGTCTATTGATAGGCCCCTTCTTTGTTTTGGGGAACTGACTCTCGGCGCTAAGCAGATACATCGAGTAGTATCTATCCGGCTCTGGAAATTGGGCTGTGCGTGCCGCACGCCACGCTCATTCACCGAAATTCATAACACTCGCCAGCAACGAAGTGTCAAAAACAGTTTCATCGGCCCAAAACACCGTGGATTCGCTTGAATAATGTATTATGGTATAATTGCGGGGGTTGCCCGCAGGCGAATCCATTCCGGCTTTTCCCAAAGCCAATCAGCCGGAAAAATTATGCAAACGCAAATAAAAGGCAGCGGGAAATTCGGGTCAGCAAAGATGTGAACAGGAACGAATCGCTTTGAGAAACCGGAGTGTAAGGGAATCGATTAAAGTTGATTGCCGATAAAATTTCTTTTAGTTTTCACATCGATGTTTCGGACGAAAAATAATTGAAAATAAGCTAATTTACACATTCAAAAAGGAGTATGTTTTCCGTATATTTTCGTACATATGCATGCAAAACTAAAACAACGCTTGAATGTCTTAATTGGATTTAGACGAAATAAATTACAAAATGCACGGTCGACAATAACTTTAAAGCATTCGGAAGACTACCTTTAAAGGTACCTTTAAAACCTATCATTAATAAAATATATGAACTTTGAAACAGCTATAAAACCTTGACTAGAAAACTCTCCGCCATTATCCATTTTCCAAATCCTATTCTAGTTACATCAAGCCTTCAATGCAGATGGCAAATAATAATAATAATAATAATTACATATTTGTTTAGAAGAGGAATTCCAGCAAGAGACCATTGTATTCAAAAATTAAAGGACTTAGGACTTAGGCTTTAAAGGACTCTAACAAACATTAGGTTACTACTTGCAGTTACGACTTGATTGTACCAGAAATGTGGAAATTGGCTTCGATACAGTTTCGTCTGTAGAAGCGATGCAGAGAACGCTGCTCATTATTAGATCACCTGCAGTAGCCCTTTGCTGGCGCACTCTGACCACACTTGGGCCACTTGCCACCAGGAGCGGCACTGCAATTGCCACTGCCACATTGCCGACAGGCCACAGCCGCCATATTAGTAAGCTGAGGTGAGGCGTGCTGCCACTGTCATGCCCCACTTAACCATAAATACTCGAATTTTCATTGCTGCCACTCGTGCACGGAGGGCACCCGAGGAGCACCCTACCCCACTAGTCGGCCCAGTTCGCCATTCGGACCATTTCAATTAGCAGACACCTCCCGGGACAGGCCCCTCCACATGAACTCGGCCGTGGCGCAGCACAGATGGATGTGGCGACCCACACCCCATATGCATGTAGTACAGTGTACACATGTACTCGTGCATTCGGAACACTGGGCTGGAAAAAACTGCTGGCCAATATCCTGGCGGAAATTAATGTTGCTGTGGCAAGCACAAAGCCAGAAGCAGGGCAACAGCGGAACGGAAAAAAATTGAATGCCACAAACCGATATGATTCGCTGGGGGGAAGGGATGGGAGCGGATACCCGGCCTTTCTCCGTTGTCAGCAGTTCCTTTTTCCTGCTGCTCACATCGACGGATGAGGAGGCCCCAGACCGCAGCCAGGCACGCCCCCATTCGAGCGCCCCTTCCCCAGGCCCAAATCCCCGGAATATTGGCCCATCGGATATGCAACACGGCGGGTACGCCGAGTAATCACTATCAATTTTGCTCAGCGCGCGCACGGATGCTGTGCCCCGTCTCCTGAGTGGTGTAAGTAAGGACTTACCTTGCCATCGGCATCGGCATGGGCATGGTACCGCACCTCCAGCGATCCGCCGAGCACTGCATACCAGAAGCGTCCCTGCTCTCCGGCGCGAAAAACTGCGGGTAGGAGAAGCTTGAGTTAGCCACCGCCTGCGAACACTTAATCCCGCAATCTAGCACTCACGAGTCACTCCCTTCTCCAGGTCCTCATAGAATCCGCACATGGCCAGCTGCTGGAGCGCAGATCCCGGCAGGCGACACAGCGGCTCCACGCGACGCAAGCGGCACGAAATGAGCTCCACATCACGCAGGTTTCGGTCGCAGGGACTGCAAGTTTGTTCAGAAGTGGGTAGACGTTAGTGCATTTATTAAATATTTTTATGTGCAATTAAAAATACCACTTAGGCCACGCCACTGTGGAAAATATTGATTTGTTGAATACCACGTGGCAGGTTGTAAATTTTTCCCCATCTCGGAAACAATAAAAGATTTTAAAGATTTTTATGGCGCCACTCGATCGCCCTTTTTTCAGGCTAAGAGGTATCAAATAGTCAAGACACTCACATATATATTTCCCTTAAGTTTTTATTACACCCGCTATCTGATGGTCGATTATCTAGAGTTCTTTCTAATTCATTCATGTTAGTACACACCTTACACACCTTTATGGTTAAATAATATTTTGCATTGAAGTTACTAGGCAGATTTACCTACCTAACACAACAACAACAAATAACAAGCTCGCAAAAAGGACATTTATAAAGGAATGTAAAATGCTGTTTTGAAATGGCCAAAACAGAAAATAGATTCGTGCAAAGGACACTGAGAAATGATTCCTTTCTGAAACCAGAGCAACCGAACAATAGACGCAAAATAGCGGAATAACGAGTATTTTGCATTCATAATTCACTGACTATGAAAAGCACTTCACTTGGACTAGTCTATTTTCGGATTCGGACAAGGCCATAAACTGAATAAAAATGAGGAGAAATGGGAAAGCAAAGTATTAGTTCAACAATGAACTCAAATTAAAAATTCCAGTGTCATTTGTGCTCGGTTTGTGCGCGCATTAAGTATGCAAATTATATTTTTTTCCTGTCTGTGTGCAAGTCAATTGAAAAATGAATAAATAAGTATAAGAGTTTCCGGGCAAGAATCTGCAGGAAACGGAAGTCCACCCAGAATAATGAGAGGAAAGGGAGGGCGAAATATGAAGCAATGAGAGTGAGGCGTCAACTAATTGCATTTGGGAAAAAGTTAGTCGCCAGATCTAATAAGCAGTTCTCAAATTCAGAAAGTACAACAAAGTTAATTTTAAATAGTACAAATTAGATCACTCTCGCTCCTATTTCGCTTTAAAAAATATAAAGGTACTTCCCGCTTCTTCCCAGAAAATATAATATACTGTTTTACATCTCTAACAGACAACGAATTGCTGCTCGCTGCCATGCGGCATGCTACCAAAAGTTTTAGACGATTTTCAGGCCAGCTCCCGCCCACCGTAAATCCCCAGTACCGCCCACATCGAAGGCCCCACCCCACCCCAACTTCCGCCTAATTAAAAATTCCATAAAAGCCAGAGGCGGAGCGGGTGCGTCCGCAGGAAGGGCTGACCCGGGCAGACAAAGGCCGCTTGCAGCCAGGAATAGAGCCAAGTTTGCCCCGGCCGGGCATCATCTGCATTGGGGCTACTCCTGCAGCGAGGCGTCTACTTTTGGGCGCAGCCTGCGAGCAACTTTCATCTGGCTGCTGGAGGTGAGCTGTCTTGCCGGCTCATGCATAATTCATGCGCCAGGAGAAGCGGCAATTTCGGGCACCCAGTGCCGAAAGGTTGGGCGCCACAAACCGTTTCTGGGCTTGTCGTTAGCCAAACAGTCAGGTCCTAAGTGCTTTCGCGGGGGGCGAGGTGGGGGTGATCCTAAGAGCCGGATGCGCGTTGGGGAGCATCCTAGGCAGCCAGCTCGTTGTTTATTATAATGGTTTTGCGGTTTTTAGGCACACGCCCGAAAGTTTCGCTTCGGAATTTCGTAATTGCCGCGCCGGCGATTCGTCAGCTTTAAGGCTGCACACTAAAGCTGCTGCGGCACACGTGGCGTATGATAAATGATAAATGTGCGGCGCACTTGTGAGTAAGACTTTACAGTCCTTACGGCTGTTCCCTCGCCGGGAAGGGGAAGCCATCAATATCAATTGCTGTCTGCTGGCTTTGCCACTTCACGCCTTACGTGCTCCGATTACCTTCGTGGCATGCACCCGCGTCCTCGTCCTACAGGCGCACCTACGCCCAGATCGCTCTGGATAAGACAGCCCTTCGTGGCCATCAATTTGGCCAAATTAAATCGTTTAGTTGGGTGTCCGGGCTCTTCTTCAGTACCAGGCCACTTGTATAGGTCCACAAGGAGCGAAGAAATCAGGATCTGCCTACTGCACGCGTGCATCCTGGCATCCTGGCGCTACTGGGCCCTTTCTCTTTGAGCGAGGCAAACAAAAGGCGGCGAGTTGCAAATATTTGCCCAGGCACAAGGCAAACAGTTTGCTTTGAGCCCTTGCCGCCTGACCTTTCTTTTTTGCCGCTGCCGCGCGCAGTCACATGAGTGCCCGCTGACCCCCGACCCCTGACCCCTCACGCACTAGTGCGAGCGCGGAGAAGCGTTTAAGCGCTGACAGACCGTGAAATTTGAAGAGATTGCCCCGTGATTGATGGTGTGTGGGCGGAGGTTAGCACCAATGAAATATAAGGCCACTCTGCAATAATAGAGTGTGCCGCACAACTGAGCAGTCGGTGGGTCAGCGGGTCAGCGGGTCAGGCGGGTCTGATGGTAATGGTGGCACTTGTCGGGTGCCAGCTGACGCCCCAGCTGAAATCCAGCAAATTGCATCAGGCGGTCGTGGGAAGAATGTGTGCTCGATTTATGTATTGTGGTAGCCCAGCTTAAATGGAACCTCTCTTTAATGAAAAATATAGAGTCAGTCATCAACGAAAAATCAATAGACGCGTGCTTCTGTTTTATTCCATTAAATAATGTTTGCACAAGATTTACCACGCAATGGCAACGCACACATTTACGAAACAATATAAAATGTATCTTTGTTAAAGCCTCTGAATCGCCGAGCATTTAACAGATAACCAGCATCAGTCACCATAAACTCAACTATCAGATAAATAATAGAATTAAATACTTTTACAGCAGTTAAATTTATATTTGTGCAGGACAGAAAACACCTTTCTAGTTATTCAGTGCAATAAAGGGAAAATTACTTTACGCTTTATCAAAATATAAATTGTATTTTTTGAATAGTGCTATTAATTTGACTGGTTTATTTATAGCAAATTAGGGCGAGTGATTCAGTTGTATTTATTTTACAACAGGAAGATATTAATGTCGTGATTATCTTTGACTTCTCTGTAGAGTAATGATGAATGTAGGGAATGATGAAATAATTACTGTGCAGAAGGCGGAGTCACAGGGATTGGATATCGGCATTTAATAAAGCGGATAATTCGTGGCAGGCCGCGTCCACAATGCGAGTGGAGTGGCCATTTGCCAGCCGTCAAGGATGGAGGAGGATGGGCCACCCAGATGTTGGCTCTTGACAAATGAATGTAGAGCATGACGGAAACATTTTAAAATGTTTCGCTTCTCGTTCCCGTTCCCGTTCTCGTTTTGTTTGTTCTCCACGTCGGAGTTTTCATTCAACTTACACGTACGTCGATGTGTGAGTACGTGTCTGCTGCGGGAAAACAGAGGAAGCAGCTTGTGCACTCAGCTGGGAAATGCCTTAGAATTAAAGAAGTTCTGCAGTATTCAGCTGAGGAAACTTTTGGAGTAAAACTTATAATTTAATGAAAAGTTGCCCGAAATCGCTGCTTGTTAATTATGCAGCTAATTCAAGTTCTTCGCCCAGAAATCTGGAGCCACTAATTTCACTCACCGTTTGTCCATTGCAGTTATCCATTCCATCGCCATGCTGACTTTTTAATTAAATTTGCTCTGCTCGATTAGTTTCCACCGCTTAAACAATTGATACAAGTTATGAGCAGCACATGCCACAAACACCGAACCAAATAGTTGCCGCAACTTTGAGCGGCTCCCAAGTTGCGCAAATTAATTCCGCGTTGCGGGCCAGGAAAGCGAAATCAAAACACCGGCTAATGGCGCCCTCGCAGCCAGTTTGCAGGCACCTCAATCCGCGATGTGGCCGTCAATCTGCGATTCCCTTTGAAATCGGCATGCCAGATGGCGCGGCCCAGCGTGGCACTCGAAATCCGCTTTTGGGAGCGTTGGAGCGAGCTCTTTGCGAGTTGGATCCGGCGTTGATTAAGCGAAAGTTTGGAAATAGATTTCAGTTTGAGCTCCCGTTGGCTGGCGACAGGGATTGCGAGCAGCTGCAAAGTTAAATTGGGCGAATGTGAGTCTAAATTCACTGCACAGTAGTCGTAAGTGAAAGCTAGCCTTGGGATGATATAATTTATATAAAATGCCAGCAGCAGATGCAAAAGTTTCCCTCTTTCAGATTTTTTCAGCTACACAACTAATGTGGATTGCTGTTGTTGGACTGGCCAAAAAGGGTTTTCCCAGCTGCTGACAGCTGCCCAGAAGGCCCCACCGCCCCATTGTGTGTGTGCTTGTGGGTATCTGTGTCCCCAGCAAAAGCAAATGTTATGAATAAGCTTTGATGCCTGCTCGGATGGAGAGGACCAACCAACTGTCGGCGCACTAATCTAACAATGGATTTTCAGATAACAATAGATTACTCCACACACGGCGTATACTTAATGCGCTAATTTCGCAGAATGCCCACGTCCAGATCGTATGGCATGCGAAGGCACGATCTGCCCGCGAATTCCCTGGTGGGCTGAATTCGTTACCGGACTCCGTGTTTACCCATTCGCAGCACTATCTGTGTCTGCGTATTTTGTTCTGCGTCAGTCGCAAAAACGTAATTTACGAGTACACCAGCCCGTCAGAGTTGCAGTGGCTTTCGTCCGCGAATTGGGACTGCAGGCAGAGCAAGTGCTCGAGTGGCGGCTCCAAGGGAAGACACGGCGAAGGAGCATCAGCTCACATGTAAATAATTAAGTATCCGCCACCTTGGCCAGCGGAGGCGCCTGAGTGTATGCCACGTTTTCTGACGTGTCGCTCGCTCGCTGGTGCACGTAAATGCGACAAAAGTGCCGGGGGCGATAAGACTGATATGGGCGATATTCCGAGTGGGCGACTCGATACTCGATAAGCTGTTGTCCATCCTGCCAGGCAAATGCAATTAGTATCCGGAGTGGAGGTTGCCGTTAACGAATCGAATGGAACAAACTTTGAATCGCCCAGGAAACAGGTGTTCCATGTAATTTCCACTTTGGGGTTTCAAAGCAAGCCTTTGAACTACAGTAGATGTGATTTCACTTTCCACTGCAGTCGCTTGCTCAGAGGGCCCAAATTCACTACTCACTACTCTGAGTGGAGAAAAGATCAGAAGTTGCAAGAAATGGGGCCACGAGCCGAAGAGCAGGACAACTGAGCTTCTGAAGCAGAGTTGGTTATTTTAAAACCCTGCTTTTCTGGTAAACTCCTAGCACGGAAAATGACCTTTCTAGCGGTGGAGCAACGCGAATCACCAAAATCCAACGAGCACCTCAACCCGAACCGACTTTAACAGAATATTGAAACGAACCACTTTTTAACGGCTTTCAAGCACTTGGTATATACAGTTCTTGGGCAAACATCTCAGTTCTTGACCTCCGCTGAAGCGCTATCGCGTCCGATTCATTTGGTAGTCGCGTCGCAACTGCTCGGCCGCCTTCCATTTTCCGACTTCCGAGCGGCGCTCTTCACCACGCTCCTGTCCTGCGCCTCGCAGGTGGGTTTCCCGGCGGAGACTGGGGGTCGTGGTGGGTGTGGGCTCTTGGAAATTACTCATTGCCGATGACTGCAGTGTTGATGGCTGCGGTGCGGTACTTTTGGCCTTGTTGCTTGGCCCCCTTTCCCCGCCCCTTTCCGCCAATCACTTTTTTGGCGGGTTTTTTAGCAACAAGTTTGACAAATCTTCGGCACAGTGGGCACAATGATATGGACTCATGAAACAAACAGAACTTAAAACCGAATTTGGTAGTATTTATTAAGTTCATTGCCTAACCTTCTGGGGGTTGAAATCGGTGTTGAATACCAAGTAATTACACCTAATTTGGTATACTTTTTTCTGTACCATAATTCTTCTTTATGGTATTAAATGAAAATGAATCAACGCCGACCGCAACAATTGTCTACTTTTTAATTTTACACGGATTTATGGTTACTTGCGTTGGTTACAAAATCAAAAGTAGTGCAAAATAATTATAAATAAACCTAACTCAAATTGAGTATATGGGAAGCTTCTAAGAACCATTGAGTCATATGACGAATTCTTATTTACCTTAAAAAGTCAGCTATCCTGCATCACAACATCATCAGCAATGAGTATGCATAAAGAGCAATCATCAGCAATGAGTATGCATTACTTGCCCGCTTATAAGGTAATCTATTATAAGGTAATCTAACCTGATATATTGCATTACAAATGTTATGGCTTGCCTGTCTGCCTTATATACAATTTGTTTCGACTCTTTTCACTCAAATATTTGTCCCGGGACAATGTTGCTGCAACATTTGCTGCTCGCTCCTGCATTGTGTGTGCTCCACAACAAACTGTTGAGCGTTATTTTGGTGAGTTGCGCAGTTCGCCTGCTCTTCAACAGGCTCTTGTCCGTCCGCTCGGCAGTCGGCAGTCGGCGGTCGGCAGTCGGGCGGACAACCCACTGCACCCCGGGCGGAACTCCCCGAACACTCGCCTCGAAACTGAAATTGCACATAAAATGGAATCGCAATGCGAAACAATCAACATGTCAATTAAATAATGCACACCAGCAGCGGACATGAAACGGCGGACAGAAGTTACGGAGCGAGTGCGTAGACACTCGGACTTTTGGTCACTTGGACACTTGGACACTTGGACATTCACTGACGGCTTGTCACATTCAGCAAATGAATCAACGGCGATTCCGTCGTGTGCGCTCCTGAAAAGGTGCGAAAATGCAAAGCTTTCCTTTTGTTTTCACTTTTCCCGGGCCTGCTGTTGTTGTGGTCGCCGCCACAATATTTACGGCACTCTCGAGTGCCTTTATTTCCGCATGAATCATTCCCAGTCTCGGTTCCAGCTCCACAGGCTGCCCCAAAGCGTATAAATTCTTGGCTTTTCTTTAGCAGTTAGTGCACAGAGAGAAAATAGTTAGGGTGGGTATTTCATAGTACTTCATAGAGTAATATAAGAGTAATATAACAGGAATATTGAATGCCAAGATGAGGCTTTATTTATAAACACGTAATAATTTGACATAATCAACGATAAAGCTATAAACAAATTCAACAAATTTGTCTGCTGAGGAATTAGGCTGACGTAATAGAACTAGTAGACTGTTTTCCCTGTGTTGCAGAGGGTTTTTTGTACTTGGTTCTTGGGCTGCCTGTCGCATTTTTTATGAACCTCCGCCATGTCGACAGGACCATCATAGACATTTTTTCGGGCTCGCCATTGCGGAATGAAATTCCAGGAATTTAACGGCCGCTTTGCCTGTTGAATATGTCATCACATGGCGGTGGAGCCTGCTCCCTGCGTCCTGCTCCAACAGACACAACACAACGCCCGGCGGTGATTATGATTAATGCGATCTTAATAAACTCCGCTGGTGGGCGCGGCTGGCTTCATGGCCAAGTGCGGGCTCTTGGCCGGCTCTAATGCATTTTCTTTTCATCATCAACGCATGTGGCACCTGTTCTAATGGCGCTTCCTGCCACCGCGCCTGTGGCCCATTAGCAGAAAATGCTGTTGTACATCGACCTGTTAGAAAGTCGCTTTCAAAGTCCTTGTGCTTGTCCTGGACTCTGGCTCCCCTCCTCACCCAGTCGCTTCAAAAGTCAGTCCCCAGAGCCGTCGGAACGTGTTTACGACGTGATTGCACTTCCCCACCCACCGGCCGAGGTCATTAGTATCGCATGTGTGCTGCTCCGGCTCTTTAGTTGCATTAATGGTTATTCAATCAGCGTTTAACGCAAATTGCCTATTAAAGCTGCCTTGTGTTCCTTACCCCCTCATGCAAATGTTTGCGTATTATGGCCATGTAATTTGATTAGTCGATAAATGAGGTAACGCCAGCGCACGTGCATCAGGAACTCCCGCGCCACTGCCTCCATGTTCTGACTGGCTAATAGGGCACTTGTATGTGCCGCAGGTTTCTCATAGATACACCAGAATCCCCAACCCGCTTTGGACCAACGTGTAGCGCACATTTGGGCGCAACTCGATGGGAACATTGATGTCTGCTTGTCGGGATTTCCAAGTGTGCGTGTTAAGTAATGTTCTTGCGAATGGAAGATTGGGATTAGGTTCAACATAGTGCACTTTGGGTATGTTTAATTGCCCTAAAAAGCGGTCATCGGCGTTGATTTATCTGCATTTCAATTTGTTGAGCCTCCAGGAACGTTTAACCAGTAACGTAATCACTGAATTTCATCTTAGCAGCGAAATCCCGGTAGTTTCCACGGAAACCCCGTACAAACACTGAATTAGTGGCAAGATTTCCCGCCAATACCCGCAGCCATTCTGCAAATGCGCGCAAATCAAAAGTTAATAGACGCGATGGAGTCTCTGTCATTTGCATTCAACCAAAAACTTGATTATCCGCGCGATTTACGGAGCGCAATTGTGGACTGGTGGACTGGCGGACTGGCGGATGCGGGTGCAGTGAGCGCACTGGGTGCTTAATGAGCTCAGTGAAATGTGTGCTTAAAATTAACTTTCAGCCAACAGTCCCGTCCCTGCAAATGGTCCCCGCCGCCATCGTTCTCCTAGTCAACCGCTTTGGCAGCTGTTGCTCAGCCAGACATGGTTCATGGCTCATAATTACGCATTCAATTCGGCAGGCAGCTAGCTCGGCTAGCAAAGCCCCAGCTGAAGCTGGCCAAGTCGCAGTCGCCCGCCCGAAACTGCTTTAATAATTAAGTCTCTTGAACATCAAGACTTCGTGTCGGACAACAATAGGGCCAGGCAAACAGAGGGGAGCAGGTCCTGGGAGTGGAGCAAGCACTGCGCCAGGGGTCCAGTTGGCGCTGTCCTGGCAGTGGAAACTAATTTCTCGCCTTGCTGGGCATAATTTTATGCAATTGTTTTCCGATTAAATTGCACACTGAAAGTGCCACGGCGGACCCGCATAAGGCATTTGCATGTGGAGCAGCGTTTCGGCCAGGTCTCCGGGTGGCGGAAGCGCTTGAGCTCCAGAACGCTTCCGCAGTACGTCGCCACTGGATTCGGGCGCCTCCAGCTTGCTGCACTTAAAGTTTATATTATTTGCTGTCAGACGGCGCCACATGGCGGATACTTGATGTGCAAGTGGGACGTTAATCGACCCATAATTGGATTAATTAACCGCCGGCAGCGGAACGCCATTGATAGGGCGCAGCCCCACCGAACCTCACACCCGGGTGCCGGCCACCTTGGAGTGGCAAGTTCAATGGCGTTCGACTTGAGCCCTAATGGGTTCCTCGACTGGGGAGAGCGTAGCGTATCGGGTGCATTGAACGCCGCTCCATCGGCATTGGCCAGCACACAGCGCAGAAAAAACGGAATTGGAAAACCGAAACCAATTTACATTTTGTTTACCTTTTGGCCAGCACACCTCTGCGTCCATCGACAGCGATGCGCCAGTGCCTAGGCAGTTCAACCCAGGAATGGATCTATGGAACTGCTTTGAAATCATTTCCGATCCATTGGACGCCAGTAAAGCAAGCTAAGCATCAGTTCCTTACTCCTCCGTTGTTCATAATTTTTGACTGGATTGGGGTCGACTTGTAACACTCATTAAATCAAATAAATGTCAACTAAAACTCCCAATCATGATATCCCAGCTCCTTAGTAGCTTCCTGAGCACCACCTCTGGTTTTTTGCCGCCTTCTCCGGCTTTGAATAGCTGGAATTTATCGCTTAACTCCGCACAGCAGCTGAATGGTGTGGCATGGAGATGTGGCATGGGGATTGGGGATGGGATAGAAATTCGTTGAAACTGAGTGTGTAAGTTTTAATTTTATTTTGCCACTTCATTTGGAGGGCTGCCTGGCTCCGCTTTGTTGGCAACTACGGCACTTTACATACATTTGCATAAGCACTCCGGCAGTTTAAGCAAGCTGTCCGGAAGGTTAATAAACAGGATTCGCCCTTTGCTCGGCCGGGCGGAGCAGCCGCACTAAAGCCATCTCGCCGAGAGTTGCCGGGCTCCTCGGGTCTTTTGCGACTGAAAGCTGATTGCGGATCGCGTCCAGGTGTGACGGCGGTGCTGTCAGGCGGCTGATTATTTGTGGCTTATTGCGCTAATGCGAAGCTTATCGCATGAAAATCGCATTAACATCTTTTGCGAGACGCCCGAACGTCCTTGGACCTCCCAGCCACCGCCCTTCTCCAGGCTGTTTGATTAGCCAGTTCCCGGGCCCATAAACAAATGCCGTAAGCCGTGCAAATATCGCATTTGGCGTGGGCTAGGCGCTTTGTTTGCCTATTTAATCAAGGCAGCCCGGCGGCCATTAGGCGCGCAAATATTGGCCAGGACTCCGTGTTGTTTGTCCGTCGCAAATACGCAGCAAGTCCAAGGCTGACCGGCGAGCAGTTGTCTTTGACCCACTTTCGACTCACTTGCTCAAGTGAGTTTGAATGATTCACGATCACTCGCAGATGCCCAAGGACGAAAACAGCACAACACAACAAGATAGTTGGTTAAACTCAGCCAAGGACACAAGGAAA